CGGAACCGAACACGGGGAGGAGCCGAACCCAAATCATACTCATACAGGGAGGGAGGATAAGAAAACCCCTCCCCCTGCAACAATAAACCCCGTGGGGAAGGCAAAAGCACCCAAGCGGGGTCACAGGGGGCCCAAGGCCCCCAGGTCGACTCCTCCCCAGCCCCAGGATCCCTTACGTCGGGACCCGGGGCAGAGCCGTCCTCCAAACCCTCTACCCCTGAAGAAAAGGTAGAGTCCAAGGGAAAGGCAGACAAGGGGGCCTGCTGGTGGGACCCAGAAGCCTCGGCAGGAGGAACCGGCTCAAATGCCTCCGTCCCCGACCCGGATGGGGCAGCCCCCGAAGCAGCCCGAGTCTCACCACCAACTAAATTGTGTGCCAAGGCCGAAAGCCGCATACGTTTCGGAGCCGGACACAGGGGGGGTGGTGCAGGAAGAACCACAGGGGAAGGACCAGAGGGCGTAGGAGTCAAAGCCATAGCAATCAACGCCCCCAGATCAGGGTCCCTAAAGCAAAAACGGGGCAGCCTCGGGGCATCCAGGCGGGAAACCAACCTAGCGCGTTGCAATAACCTAAATCTACCATGCAACGCTGATGCTGCCTGTACTCTAATAGGAACATCCTCAGAGTAAAACCTGAGCACAAGCAGAGAACAGGACTCGCAAGACTCCGGGTCAAAGGTGTCATTGACCCAACAGGCAGCATGACGGAGGCAAAACAGGTGACTGTCACCCTGAGACAAGGGCACACTGCAACCCTCAAACCCGCACAAGGCAGGCTGGAACTCGGGAGACGCCTCCATGGGTCCCCGAGCCCCGACAGGGGTTTCCAGGGCCCGTAGGTTAGCAACTACGGGAAGCCCGGGCAAGGTGTTGCTAACCGGTTAAGAAACCCAAACAAAACACGGGTAATTGATAATACTGAAAACCCCTGGGACGTGTACAAGCACGGGGCCTAGCAGAGGGCCACCAAAACAATACCAGGGGAACTATGGGCCCACGAGGCAGCACCTCCACCAGGCAACCAAAAACAAAACAAAAGAAAAACCCCGCAAAAGTACACCGTCCCCAGAGCAACAGGAACCGGTCGCCGCTTAGGTGGCAGGCCGCGCAACACCTTGACGCCCTAACCAGCACAATACCACTCCCTACCCAAGGCCAAACAAGGGCCCCAAGCCCCAGCTGGCCCCAAGGGCGAGGCAAATGCCGAGCAGCAAAAACCTCTACGGGAGCGGTTCCCGAACGCCCCAGAGAAGATAACCCTGACACGCAAGGGCAGTACTCACAGGGCGCCTAGGGAAGGAAGCCCTAGACGCATGCAGCCCCGGCACTGATGAAGTACTCCTGGCCACCGCACACCACGACAACAGCAGAGAACGCCACACGAGGCAAACACCGCCAAGGAATTTGAGGCCAGAGAAGCGTCTATCCCGGTTGACACTAGCTTGCGAACTGACGGCAGCCGGCGCGGTGAGGTCCGGGGCCCCCCCCCTCCCCCTCCCGGGGAGGGGAGGGCTGCGCGGACGACCGGCGCGGCAGTAAATTGATTGTTTGATTGTTTTCCTTGGGATTGTAGGGAGTTTTTCTACCTCTCTGTTCGGTTTTTGTTGTAGTTTTTTACCATGTGGGGTTTGTTTTGTTACGCCTACCTTTCTGGGTGCCTAACCCCGGTCGATGGCAGATAAGGAAAACCCCCAACTATATGGGGTTTTCCAGGGCCATTGCTCCCTGAAACCTCTCTGAAGGGGCCAGGTTCTGGCGCTGGTCCCTGGTAGGTCTGAACTCCATAGCTAATGTCCCGGTCTAACATAACACACATTAGCCCGATAAGCTCCAGGGAGCCGTAGGGGCTCCCCCCAGAAAAGACGTGGAACACCAGCACTTGTGTACACCATCCACAACAAAAACTCCCACAGTTCATACCCATGAGGTCCGAACTGCATAACCCCACCCAGTGGGAAGGGCGCCAACAAGGAGTATTGCAAAATAATAGCAGTGCCTAGACAGAGCACAAAGAGAAGATATAATGACAAAAGAACGAGACGGTATCGAAAACCAAGAAGCACGGAAGAGGACCAACAAGTCCAAAAAGGACCGGAGGTAAGCCTCACCGGAAGACGACAGACATTCCAATAATGCCGGAAAAATCAAAGACCTTCCCGAACCCCTGAGATCTCACAGAAGCAAACAATATCACAAAGGCTCAGAAAGGCACAGTTGCACCCGAGACCAAAAGTCATGCAGAAACCCCGATAATAGGACAACATGACCCCTCCATGATGGAGAAGTCCCGCCCCAGAGAAAAGGGGGGTAGAAACGGAGAAAAGAACCCACCGATAGGATGGAACCGAACCGACCCAAAGGGACAAAGAACTGAACCCGAGGAGGGGCCGACGCCCAACAATTCGTACACAGAGGGGAGAAGGAAAACCCCACTCCCTGTAACAGCAAGCCCTGCACTGAAGGTAGAAACCCCGACGGGGTCCAACGGGGGCCTGAGGCCCCCCCCAAGTCAGCCCCTCCCCAACCCCAGGAACCTCCACGGCAGGCCCCGGGGCCGAGCCGTCCCCCCAAAGCCCCAGCCTCACAAGAAAAGACCGGGACAGCCGGAAAATTAGTGTATTAAGAAAGGGAGCCCACTGGCAGACTCATACAACCCGGCAGGCAAAACAGGCTCAAATACCTCCGTCGCTACCCTGGAAGGGAAAAACCTCGAGACCGCCTGAGTCTCAACACCATCGAATCCCCGCCCCGAACCCGAACCCACAGACGGAAAAGATCCGGATGCAGGGAGGAAAGAAGAGGGGGGGGGGGGCAGACTAAATCACAACAGGGAAAAGATAAGGGGGAGAGGAAGGAACAAAACCGAAGCAATCAACACCCCCAAGCCCCGTCACAATAACCAAAACGGGGCAGCCTCGGGGCTTCTTTAGGTTATCTTGAGATGATTTTGGGGATTTTTAGTGTCCCCGCGGCCTGGTCCTCGACCAGGCCTCCACCCTCAGGAAGCAGTCCGTGACAGCTGACTAACACCCAAGTACCTATTTACTGCTAGGTAACAGGGGCATAGGGTGAAAGAAACTCTGCCCATTGTTTCTCGTCGGCGCCTGGGATCGAACCCATGACCACAGGATCACAAGTCCAGCATGCTGTCCGCTCGGCCGACCGGCTTCCGGAGAGCAAACAACCAAACGTGTTGCAACCAACTGAACCCAATGTGCAGCCCCCATGCTGCCTGCACCCACAGAGTCAGCATAAGACCGGGTAATCGAGTCACAAACAAGCAATGAAACTCGCAGGATTCCGGGTCAAAGGTACCACCGACCCCATAGGCAACAGACGGAGGCAAAAACAATGAGAGTCACCCTGAGACAAGGGGACAGAGTAACCCTCGAACTAGCAAATGTGAGGTGGGACTCAGGGGTCACATCCATTGGACCTACACACCCCCCATGAGGATTCCCAGGGTCCTCAGATGGAACTCATGCTCAGGGAAGCCCAGGCAGGGTACTGCTAACCGGCGCCCAAGTCTACCAAACAACTTTCTAAGAACTGAACCCCTAGGACGTGTACACTCACGGGGACCTAGCAGGGGGCACCATCAGAAGAAAACCATATTTGGTCAAATACCAAGGGGTAATACCAATACCCCCTGTGGTACTCCGCTTGTAACACTCCTCCAGTCAGATACATTGTCTCTGATTACCACCCTCATCAGTCTGTCAGACAATTTTTCATCCATGTCAGAAGTTTCCCTGTCACCCCTCCAGCATGTTCCAGTTTCCAGAACAACCTCCGGTGTGGGACTCTGTCAAAAGCCTTTTTTAGATCCAGATAGACACAGTCAACCCAACCCCCCTCTTTCCTGTAGTATCTCTGTGGCCCTATCATAAAAACTAAGTTGATTTGTTACGCAGGATCTTCCTGTTCAAAAACCATACTGTCTGTCCATTATTATGTCATTACTCTCTAGGTGTTCAACCAATTTGGCTTTAACTATTGTTTCTAGTGTCTTGACTACCACGATTGTTAATGATATGGGTCTGTATTTAGAGGTTCCCATTCAGAGGAACTTCTAAATTACAGACCCGTATTCATTAACAATCGTGGTAATTCCCTCCCTTCCTCCCTCTCTAAATTACTTTATGCATAAGACCATTTTTATTGATTTGTACTATGTTTGTATTTTCCCATATATCTACTAAGATTCCTGTGCACAAGGATGTGTGCAATATTAATTGGAGTGGAATGCTCAGCTCGGATGCACAGTCTCGCAGCACCCAAGGTGAAACTCCATCAGGTCCAACCACTTTATTTCTTCCCTGCCTGCCTGCCTCTTGACCTCCCTCATTACCTCTCCCCCTCCCTTACTATATCCCATCCTCCCTCACTACCTCTCCCCTCCCTTCCTCTCTCACTATCTCTCTCAATGTCTCCATCCCTCCTTCCCTCATTACCTCCCTCTTTCCGTCACCGCCTCCGAAATCACTGGTACGCCGATCGGCTGTTGTGAATGCCGCGTTCGCAGGGCTATGTTTTCTACTTCTGTAATGTAGTATGTGTTAACCATTGTGATATTATAAGGTATTATAATTCCTACAGTAAATACCGGTAAATATGTTAAATAGACTTACCAAACATGAGTTTTTAGTAGGAAATAATTGAGATGGACTATGAGAGCTGACTCACACTGACAGAGTTATGGCAAGTGGTGTACAAGTGTTAGGCAGGGCATTTCACTTCTTTATCTCTCAGTAGTAAAGGTTCACATTTTATATTCAGCAGACAAGTCAACCCCTTGGTTTTGGACATATTTTTAGGCTTCAAAGTTCAACTAATATGCGAGCACATACGGTAAGTGAATATTTTAAGAGCATAAGACTGCCCTACCCTTTATCCGATCATAATCCCTTGAACAGGTGGTCAAAGTGTGAACTAATGGCTTATTTCCATTGCAGAAGAGAATTACTGAATTGCGTTTACAGACTGAAGTACAAACTTACCTTCAAATCTAGCAAAACCCAGATCTTCTCCACGAAAACTTTTGACACACTTGACACCATACACAATGATTGGTCTTCGAAGGATGTGAGCTAAAACTAGAATGTGTAGCTGCTCCAAAGCAGCCCCAGGTTGTGAAGCCAGGCAGATTAACTCTGCCCACTCTTCTAGTACCTGACCTTCAGGAACATAGTAGTCTAACAGGCGGGCCTGCCAACGTTCATATTCTTTCCAGCGTGGGTAGAACCTGTAGAGGACATCACTAAACTCAAAAGTTTTATCACTTTTCACAACCTACTCTAGATAAAGAAAATCTTTAAGGTATACAAACAATACTGTAATACAATGAAAATATGTTTGTGAATGATATTAACTAACTTGAATTATATACTATAATATTTGTAATTATGCATTACAGCAAACTCCAGGAATCATGAAAATTGTTCATATTTATTCATCCAAAGATCAAGTCTTAAATTATCAAACACAAATGGAAACTAGAATTAAAACAATATTTCTTACAGATGAGCAGCTTCCGAGAGGCTGTCTGATAAAGCTCGTCTGAGAACGTTTTCTCTGTCAAACACGCCCCACGTAGACTGAAGTATTGAGTCAAGGAGGCAGTCACCTGAAATCAAGATATTATTTGAAAAAATTATCTAAACTATTACAAGTAGAAATACTGATGTTCATATTTATCACCAGCCTTTCACAATCTGTTCCTTCCTGGAACTTCTCTTGAAGACATAAGTTTCATGTCTCCCTGACCAAGGAGGGGACACAGAAATGAGAGAATGGCAAAAAGGAATGGATCAGAATCAAGGATGTAAGAGAGACGTATATAGTGTATACGTGTATACACTATAGTGTATAGTGTAGACGTGAAGTGTATAACCCAGGAGACATACTGTAGTAACAGCAGTGTTAAATGTTTATAAAAAAAAAAAAAAGTTGAATGTAATGAAGCGCCATTTTCTGGGCTCCCCGGAGCTATCTGGCTGATACGGATGTATAAGCTTTGGGCATCAGTCAATGTACATGGAGTATGTACATGACTGATTAGGCCTACCTAGGCCTACAGGGGACCATGAGCCAGAATCTGGCCCCCCACAGAGAGGTGCGAGGAGCAATGGCCTATAGACACACCTTATGTGGAAATTATGTGGAATAACTAGTGGATATTATACTGCTGATTATTCGTTGTTGTTGTCATAGATTCAGCTACTCGGAACAAGTTCCAAGCAGCACTTGGATTTAGAAGTACTCTATATCTGCCATCGACCGGGTCGGTTACCCAGAAAGATATCCCCCATTCTGGTGAAGAAATGCTACCAATCACCAAACGAGAGGATATAACTCTCTAATGAAGAAAAACGATCAAACAAGCATGACACCATCTCATTAAAAACATGCCACCGTCTACGCAATCCCCCCTCCTCCACAATAGGGGGAAGGGGGAGCCCCAGACCCCCCCCCACCGGCTATCCGAGCCTGTCAGTTCTAAGGCTAGACATCAAAAACACGCGAAAAGAACCGCCAACTGGGAAGGAGGGAGGGAAGGATGCTGGGGAGCCTCCGGGTCTCACCCAGAAAATGGTGTTTCATTACATTCAACGCTGGTTTTCTGGGGAAAGCCCCTTCGGCTTCCCTGGAGCTAACTATCCAAAGACAAGGACAAAAGAGGGACAAACCCAGGAGGCGGAAACCACGTGCCCGAAAACAAGACAAATGGCAACACCAAACGACCCCGAGGACGACCCGGGACGACCCGAACCCTGGAACAGCGACGAAGGGAACCTGGGCAACGCAAAGTGCATCCAAGGCCACAGAGGCCGCGGCATGCAGGCAATGGCAGAGAGCCACAACTAAACACAGGAAGATGCATCCCCCGACCACACCAAACAAGCATCAACAATCCCAGGGATCCCTTCGGAAAACAGCCGGCCCAACCTCACCAGGATAGAAGAGACGGCTGCAAACGAACAAACCAGACACCAGAACCCAAAGGAGCAGAAACCTCCGAGTAACAATCTGGAACCAAGGGAGCCACAAGAAACCGAGGGGAAAGAAGAGAGACCCAGGCCAAGATGAGGACACCTCAGGTGGTGCACGAGCCGGCCGGAGGTGAAACAATGCCCGAGACAGCTTGCAAAATGGTGCGGAAGAAACATCAAAACCAAAAGCAAGCCTTAGCTGCTCTGCCAGCACCGCACGAGACATGGCGATACACGAGTGGGACCCTATCAACAAAGCCACCTGATCACCAAACAGATGGTGATAGACCAGAGGCAAAAAACACCAAACGCGAAGACTCGAGGAGAAGACCGAACCAGCCATGAATGGACTTTCAGACCGAGCATCTGAAAGAGGTGGAGACGTGGGAAAAACCTCCTGGTTGCGGACACCGAGCAAGCAGCACCTGAACCAAGGCTGTCAGAGAACCAAATGGAATCTCCGCCAGGTCCCCAGGAATCCGAACACATTAGCAGGTTAAGAACCAAATCCCTGGCAAGCAGAACCGCCCCATTTGGGAGGAACCCCCCACCCCGCAGGACCGTCGAAGAACCAACAAGGCCAACACGGACGACAAGAAAAAGCGGCTTGCAGAAACTGCCCAACCGCAGACTACACAAACAGCTAAGACAAATGGCGACAAAAACCGAAGAGCAAAGGCCCGGGCAGAAACAACGAGGAAACTAGCACCACTAGGCGACACGTGAAACGCGAAGCAAAAAATTGTGACACTGCATCCCACAGGAATGGCGGAAACAGCTCCAGCAGTGCCGACGATGCATGTGCCACCAATTTCCAGAGGAGAACAACACTGGAGGACATGCACTGCACTAAAAGACAAAAATGCATATGTAAAAGAAATGCAAATAAAAGTCCGCAGCTAGGGCTGTAAACCCTGTCTCAACTCGTCTTAAAGACAATGAACTGTAGGGGCAGGAGTAGTTGATACGAGAGCTACCTCCACCCAACTACATCTCAACAGATCAGCTCGGAATATCTATATATCAAGGAGAGATCTATAACTGAACACTGGCACTATGTAGGATCCGAACAAGTACATTGTCTAGCCTAGCACCATTATTAGTACCGCCAATATGCACACCAAGAAACACAACAAGGTGTATAAGAGAGAGGTATGAAAGATGCAAATATGCAACGAAAAGACCGTAAATAAGGCCCAAGTACCGTTAACGAAGGACAAGAGAATACATTCAAGACAATGAAGTACTGTAATATGACGTAGGTAGCAAGTGGAAATGAAAGGTATATGAACTATTACATATAAAGAATGATGCCAAGGCATATAAAAGGAGTCAGTCAGGTATGGAATGACTGTCAAGGAATGAGCGGTCAGAGAGCATTGAAAGACTGTCAATGAAAAGAAAAGATTCAGTTAAGAAAAGATTCAGTCGCTGAACGAAAATCGGCTAAGCCCCACAGTGTAACGAACAATAATACGGACATAATAAGATTACATTAAGATGCATGGTATATAAAAGGTATATAAAATGTATAGATGCCAAGGTATATGAAAGGGGTCAGTCACACACCGAATGATGGTCAATGAGTGGCCAGATTGCAGGGAATGACTGCTACTGAACGAGTGTCCAAAGGCAAGAAAAGACAAAGTCGTTTGTCAATATTGCAGGTTTGTCAATATTGCTCTACCAGATACTTAAAAGTATCTGGTAGATACTTAAAAGTATCTGGTAGAGCAAGGACGTGCCCGAAACGCCATGCTCACCAGTGGCCCTACAAGAACATAATGTATCCCTTTAACCCCAAATGTACTGCACGCAAAGTGGCCAAGCAATGTACCACCAACAATACCCAACACTCATCCAAAAGACGAGAACCGCAGCCTGGCTGATGGCATAGTCAGACTGTAGAAGCACTGGTAGAGCTAAGGCCGTACATCATATACAGACAGTGTCGCCGGGTAAGATGCAGGCAGCACGGCTAGGTAAATATGACCGTAGATGCGATTGCAGGAGGATAAGAAGAGTGGAGTAGAGGTGGAGACGTCGTCACTTCAAGCTACGCCACACCCTAATTTAGAGAAAAGTACAAGGAAAGTACCCTACAAATACAGTCCAGAACTCCCACAGTATCCAGGGAGCCATAACTGGAGATAGAGTAGGTAGCACGGCATATTTCCTGTAATAAAGTTCGCCTGACACCAACACGTGTTGACACTGTCCATAAACAAAACGAACACCCCCAGGACATTCTTAGGACGCCTGAGGACTGAGCTGATCTAGATAAAATAAGTGCTAAGGAGCGCTGAGTGACAAATGGAATTCAATGTGAATAAATGCCATGTTATGGAATGTGGAATTGGAGAAAATAGACCACACACAACTTACAAATTATGTGGAAAGGAATTACAGAACTCTAATAAAGAAGTAGTCCTAGGGGTGGTTTTGGATAGTAAGCTGTCGCCAGAGGAACACACAAAGAACACTGTGAGAGGAGTGTATGTGTCGCTTTCCAACTTCAGACTTGCTTTTTATTATATGGATGGTGAAATACTAAAGAAACTGTTCATGACTTTTGTGAGACCAAAACAGGAATAGGCAGCAGTTGTATGCTGCCAAAATTTCAAGCAGCACATAAAGAAACTGGAAAAGGTTCATCGGCATGCTACTAAATGGCTTCTGGAACTGAAAAATAAAAGTTACAAGGAGAGACTACAGCCATTAAACATGCCAAAACTAGAAGATAGAAGAAAAAGAGGTGATATGATCACCACATACAAAAATTCTAACAGGAATCAATCAAATTGACATGGAGGAATTCCTGAAACCAGCAACATCATGAACAAGAGGACACAGTATTAAGCTAAGGAAACAAAAGTGCCGAAAAAAATTTGAAAGTTTTCTTTTGTAAATAGAGTGGTAGACAGTTGGAACAAGTTAGGTGAGAAGGTGGTGGAGGCAAAAACCGTCAGCAATTTCAAATCATTATATGACAAAGAGTGCTGGGAAGAAGGGACACCATGAGTGTAGCTCTCATCCTGTAACTACACTTAGATAATTACGCTTAGATAATTACAGGTGTAATTATGTAATTATGCAAAATAAATGCAAGTGGCACAGCAGAAATTTGAATACAAGCCCCAAACCCCACTGTGTTCTGGAAAAAAAAGTTCTGCCAGATGGACAAGGAATTGCCACTGGCCCCTGCACTGGACAGAGTCTAAAGAATTGTCAACACTTAGCTTAGTCTCCAATGTTTGCAGAGCAGTTAGAAGCCTGCAGGAGCTGGCAGCCCTCAGGTCACTGGGGGTTGCCATGTGGTGGCAAGAGAGTAGTGCTAACTACTGCTTGGATAAGAGTGCAAACACAGTATGAATCAGGGTTGCAAACGTTGTCCAAGTAGTTGCTTGTTTTGGTGCATGATCTTTCTGGTGGTATTTTCTTTAGTTCTGTGTAGATCTTATATCCCCAGATCCCCCCTTTGCCTCTACTGAGGGGGGCCAATCGTAATTTGTAAGAGCCTGGTGTAGTACCCAAAGCTTGGAGGATTCAAGGTAGGTAAGGAAGATACCAAGGGGGCCATCCCAGAAACAGATTTATACATTAAAATAATTATGCTTTAATTGCAAAGAATACAAATTTATAAGCACACAAGTGTCACAATCCAAGGAATGATTTTGCATGAATTTATGCTTGCTAAGAACGTTATGTACTGTATAAATATTAGTCTTACCTGCTGTGCGGTTCCATAGTGCATACAATCTTGATCCAAGTCTGTCAGTGATCTCAAGTGACCAATTAATGATAGGAGCATCCTCTTCGAGTTGTTTCTGAGCATCTCTATCTAAAAGTTCTTCAAAAAGTTGTTCCTGGACACTAACTGGCAAATCCTCTATTTCTGTATAAAAAGTAATAAAATTTACCTGGCCATCTTAACATTCAAAATACTCATAATATTTCTAAAAATATTCTATGCACTAAGCCCCACATTAAAACACTAACTACACTGTACACACTGCACCAAATATCTTTAATCCATGACTAACATGTTTAACCACTGTACTGCGCAAAGTGCTTTGAGGCGCTAAATCGGTGGTGCACAACATAGGGATAGCGTAGGATTCAAAACTTCCATTGGTACATAGGGTTTCACGTCAGCTTCCTCATGACTCTTGTAAACAGACTCCATTTAAAAAAAAAATCGTGGACAACATTTCCGGGTGTGAGAGCACCCCAGTACTGAGTGAGCAACCAAGGCTGGTGCACGCAGCATGAGCTCACAGCACTGCTGTTCAGCCTGTGACCACAGCATCACCTAAAAATGTCAAAATATACATGTAACTGGTAACTTCAGCTATGATAGTATTACAGAAGAGCCTGACAAAGACTGTGATAAAGACTGCGTACAATGTTTAGATATCAGTGACTCAATACTGTTCAAGATGTTCAGAGCGCTAGCTACAGCCCACTGCCATTTCGTCCATCTAAGAATCTTCACATTACTTCTCATGTTCCTTTACAAAATAATTTTATGGAAAGTTATTCATTTACAGGATTTAGTGACCAGAATTCTGATAATAGCAGGATTGTGGTGAAAATTAGCAATGTGTGTAGTATTGTGGGAGGAGTAATCTTGATAAGGAAGGAGGGAGATGTAGCGTCGTCTGCTGGCTGCTGTGTGACTTGTCATGCAGTGTATGATATCCACTCTGCTATTTAGACACCATATCAGCTTAGTTGTATAGTTATGGTGAATAAAACATGTAGATACTTATATACAATGTGTGTAAATAGTGTAATAAAAATAATAACAGTATGGTGGGAGGAGGAATGTTGGTGAGTGGGTGTTGAAGTGGCATCTGCTAGCTGCTGTGTTGCGGCCAGTCTTCTTGTTTTGACTCATCATACCAACATAGTGGTTCGTTATGTGAACACATGCGTAGATAGGTATATACAATATGTGCATATAGTGTAATAACAGCAAAAACACTGTTTGAGTGATCATAGAATATAATATACATGTCACATATATGATAATTTTTGTTTTAAATAATAATATTAATAGCCCCATAATTTAAAGCCAACCCGTTTTCGCAAATTTAATAAGTCAATATTGACTTATTAAATATGTGCATAGGTGACATACTTAACATAATAGTTTCCCTTGAAAAGCTTCATAGAAAACACCGACCTTACCTAACCTACTTAGTATGTTAAGATAAGCATCTTATTGCTGCGTAATTACAATTATTACCTAACCTATACCTATAATAGGTTAAGTAACAATTGTAATTACGAAGCTATAAGATGCTTATTTTAACATACTAAGTAGCTTAGGTAAGGTCGGTGTTTTCTATGAAGCTTTTCAAGGGAAACTATTATGTTTATTATGTCACCTATGCACGCAACTAATAAGTCAATATTGACTTATTAAATTTGCGAGAACGGGTTGTTTAAAGCATAGCAATATTCCACACATTGAACTATATAAATTCCACAAATTACACACTTTTGATAATATTACAACAAAAAACCAGAGAAGAAATGAATGAGAAGCATCAAAATAATTGTGAAAAATTATATTTGCGGTAACTGCAGCCCCACAGGGTGGCGGGGCCGACTGACCCCGAGCACTCCATCACTCAGCGCCGGGGTGAGGGGGGGGAACGCAACACATAAAAACACAACACACTCTCAACACAGCACCTATGAGGACGATAATGCTTTTAACCACTTAACTGCACCAACCGAGTATTCTCGGTCGGCGGGAAACTGCGCCAACCGAGAAAACCCTTTTTGATTTTTCAGTACCAATTCTAAATGAGTACGAAGTTGGTTGTGTACGAAATGGACTCTTAGACCTCCAGTGAGAGGCAGCCATCTTGGAAAAAATTCCCAGAATGACCTAGGGCTGCTGGATGGGTTAGTTCTGAGTGAGCAACCATGGGTGGCGCACACGCCTCTGGCTCCCAAACACCTGTCTGACACGGTATTGAAAGATAATGCTTTGTCGGTGAAATTCAAACCTTATTGTTTGAAGAACATAAGGGTCATAATATTGGTGATGCTAGGCACAATAAGGACCTAACACAAAAGTCGGATGCAAGTGATACAGCACCTATGAGGACGATACAGTGAGCGTATCCAGTTGTAGCTCTGAGTCACCCTTGCAATCCTATGCTATCTCCAATTTATTTAGATGATACATAGATGAATCGTTTTCTGTGTTCAATGATGATGCATCTGATACAAGTAGCATAGATGAACAGTGTTAGCCGCTTCCATGGTGGTTTTTTCCATAGATATTTTCAAGAATACCTGAATCTCTTCCTGACTGACAGACACTCTTTGAGGCAAGCTGAATCTCTTTTTGACTGATGGACACTCTTTGAGGCTAGCTGAATCTCTTCCTGTGTGGGACCATACAAAGCTATCTTTTCAAGACTACCTTACAAATTATCTTTTCCTATAATCTTTTCAATACTACCTTATGCTTTACAAGCTTGGCTACATACAACCTCTAAGTACTAAAACCAAGAGCGTACGTTAGTGCGTTATTTGCAAGCACACAGAATGAAGAAACAGGAAGCGAAAATTTATCTGTAACTGGTGCGATGAGAACGAAGTCTCGCTGTGCACCATGACTTCTTCGTTGATTATTACTCACTTCCGAAGTACCGAGTGTGTAATACAGTGTGTTACTGTGTAAATAGTGTGTGAAACTGTACACATTGTAATTTTAGTGAATTTTTAACAAGTAATATTGCAACAATAAACATTTATTGTGGACACATTACTGACACATGTATCACAGTTCCATGGAACATTATGAACGTTCTACTGCATACATATTGTAAAGGACACAAATATGCATCATATACGATAAAAAAAAACAAATAAAACCACATTGGAAATACATAGAACAAATAATTGAAAATATATTTGTGACAACACCCGTTGCTTGAAAGACCCGCGCGACCGTGTCTGGGCGATTCATGCACGAGCAACCAGGCCCTGATGACGTCACAGCACACCTTGTTCACGTCCACACAGCCAAAGTAAGTGGAATTTGGTATTTATTTTTACATAAGACATGTTCAGGGAAGGGAATTTATCATTTTACGAAGAAAAAAGAATTTTTGGGGAAAACTTTATTTCATGCACACGGGGAATTTCACAATAAACTTGGCGCAGCACAGTGGTTAAAGTAAAAATCAAGAGAATGAATTTAAAATTATACTGTATGTGATTTATATATAAAATGTCTACATTATACATTATACAGTACTGCAAAAGAAGTACAATTATAATCAGAAAATTACATGTTATATTTACTCACTATTAATTATATTAACTGGTTGACTGTATTGTCAGTTTAAATGACATTACAATAGGTTATTAGTACAAAATATGTATAAACTGGCACAAACCACTTTTAACTAACAATAAAAAGTAAAATATTGAAATGATGCATTAAATTTATCCTAGTCTTTCAACTCAACTGTTTCAACATACTGGTAAGACTAACCTGCTGGCAGGGAGAATGTTACAGATTCAGAGAGAAAATGACAGGGGAAAGCTCCTTTTCTTTGACGAATAGATGCAGACATGTGCCGACGAATATCAGTTGCCAGGTCTGGTGCTACATAAGGTGGAACGCGCTTCACTCCAGTCCCTCCTCCATCCATTCTTGACAATATTGTAGCCAGAAGATCTTCACGGCCAAACCTCAGGGGAAATTGGAAACATTTTTCAGCACATTAAGTCAAATTACAGTAGAGGGAATTGAAAATAAGGTCAATGTACAGTGCACCTTTTTTCATTCTGATACACTGTGGCAATGTACTACTACAAGCAGACACAATAACTGATATAAGTTTGGTCAGAAAATGCACCCTCAATGAGAATCAAACCATTTTGAAAGAACCCATGATGATAAAATACCAAGAACAATATTCAGCATCCACCTTAGCCCAATAAGCAAAGGAGATGAAAATGGATAAAAGAAAGCTCTACTAAATTTAATGAAGAGAGGATCAGCCAAAACTCAAGCAGGCATGGTTTACAGTTCAGTTGGTAGGAGACAATGGCATGATGCCCAAGGCAATGCCTCTCAAGCAATTATGACTAACAAAACATACAACTCAGCCCTCTGCCAAAGATGAGGCTTGAAGTGATTCCAAAAGCATTGCAAGAGCAAAGTGTGAGAGCTGGATCTCTCAGAGCACAAATTTATTGCTTGCATAAGTTCTTGCAAAGTCTAACTTTATTAGTTGACATCCAAAGTGTGTCAAGTTGAATGTCACTGGACTCGTTTTTACAATGAGGGAGTCCACAGAGGTCAATAGTTTTGACCTGGATCATCTAGTTTTGTTGCAATGTTGAGTACAGGGCCACAGTACCAGGTGAAAGGTACCCTTAGCCAAGGGGAGAAGTTTTAGCTACATGGTGGTTCAGGCTCCCCCCCCCCCCCACAGAAACAGTTGGAAGCTGAGCACAACCCCTCATCCCACCTCTCATATGCAGTGTCGTCCTCTGGTGAGATGCTGTGGAACTAGTCATGACGTTACGCAGTGCTTACGTGCTGCTATCAATCAGATGATTTTCCAGAAAAAGGCAGGAGAGGCCAATAGCTTTGATTGGTCAACAGGTGATGACATCATGGAATCCTGGAGGTTCCTCGAGGTGTCCAGAGCTGGCATTCGGTCGAGGACACTCGTGAAGGAAGGGACCGTCTTCAGAGCTCAAAGACTGGCCTCTTTGTCTTAAGTCCTAAGTTCAAAATATACCCTAACACCATTAATACACCAAATCCGAATCACTGGGTATTACAGGTGTCAAAGCGATTATCTACATCGCACTGGAAGATTAACACTTTCGGCCGTCAGTGACGGCGTCCATAAATAACTATACAGATGTCCCGCGGGGACACATTTTGCATCCAAAATTTAAATATTTGTTAAAAATCCATTTTTTTCTAGATCATTATGGGACATGTTTTAAAATGTGAGCTAACGTTTTCCCATTTTTTGTGATGGCCCATGTGGCATCACGGCACCATCTCCCACACTAGAAGGACCTAGTCATTACAGGTCCTTCACTTCTAAATAAAGCACAAGGTGCATTAGATAAAGTAGCATCTGAATGCAGTGTTTTAGGGCTAAAAATATCTGCACAGAAGTCTAAGGCAATGAGACTAGGCGGCAACACTCCAGACAGGCACCTACGTATTCAAGACATTAACCTTCAGTGGGTTACACAATATCAATATCTCGGAGTGTGGATAGATTTTAAAATGACATTCAATAAGCAAATTCAATACTGTATCTAAAGAAGAAAGCAAAATCACGACTAAATATAATGAGAGCAATCACAGGGCCCCGTCTAGGAGCGGGACACAAAGTATTAAGAATGTTTTACATACACGCCGTTCGTTCCCGAGTTGATTATGCAGCGCCTGCCTTACTCACTCTTTCTCCTGGTCAGTGGGCAAACGTTGAGGTTCTTCAAAATGATGCATTGCGAATCATAACAAGAGCTCCCAGATGGACTAAAATACTGAACCTAAGACTAGAAACAAAGCTAACGTCGATTGAAATAAGGGTAAAAGGGATTGCTGCGTGCATGCTGACCAAGATATTGACTAGACCTAGAATCAGTTCACTTGAAGATATAATCACTGGAGCACTAACTCTGGACAGAAGAGCCTCCAATAGTAACAGGTGGACCCATTGTGCGATAAACACCATCAATACATTCGATATAGCAAACACAGTCACTGAGAGGGGTGTCAACGAAATACATACAGACTTTGTTATGCAAGCCCCTTGGGAATCTCTGCCAGCAGACTTTAAGATTATGGCTCTTGAAGGAAAGAACCAGACAAATCCTCATCTGCTACGTAACATTGCACAGATGCATATAGAAGCAAACATGGTATCCGACAGCTTCACTTACTTCACAGATGGATCAGTAGACCAGCAGGGACAAGAAACCGGAGCTGCAGTTAAAGCAGGAAACTCTGTAAATAGTTGGAGGCTCTCAAATGGGTGTTCGACTTTACAAACAGAGATGCTAGCCATTCAAAAGGCTTTGGAACATGCTCTTGCTGAACACCGACAACATGTTATCATACATACAGATTTGAGAACCGCCATTGAAACCTTGCAACAAGAACACATATGTGATAACATCCATCTGATCACAAATGTCATATCATTCATGCAAACACTCAAGCGACAAGGCCGACGGGTACTTATCAACTGGGTGCCAAGTCATGTGGGAATAATAGGAAATGACATTGCAGACGAAGCTGCAAAACTTGCTACTAAGAGGAGAAATGTAGACATTTACATACCACAGAGTCTATCACAGATTAAGAAAGTAATTAGAAACAGAGCAATGCAAAAGATGTACAGTGACCACAACACTACAGTTGCAACATCAGGATCTGCAGGTTGGTACAAGAATTCAACCAACTACGAACCACTTAGTTTGATGAAAGGGAACAGTAGAGCAACAGAAGTGCATTTACATCGCATCAGGCTTGGATACCCATGTGCATGGGAAATAGGCTTACAGGTTCCGGAAGATGAGAGGAAATGTCAACACTGTGGAGAAATGCCCGACAGACCACTGGAACATTATCTAACACAGTGCACAGTTACAAACCCATTAAGATTTCAACTTAGATTCAACAGAGCAGAAGAAGTTGTTAAACACATATGGCAAAATCTTACTGAAGCGACCATATGAGTCATAAATACTCATACTCCGCCCAAGTAAAACAGAAACAAGCAACACTTAGTGGGCCAGCCAGAGGCTTAGGGCCCGCGCAGGAATATCCCTGCAAAAAAAAAAAAAAAAAAAAATCTCCCACACTGTAGGCCCATTGTTATCGTGTCTACTCTTGTGACCACTGGGGCCTCCCCTCGCATCCAACACGTGTGCCCGTTCCGGCTATTTTTCCTCGCCTATTTTTCCTCAGCTATATTTCTTACTGCCTTTATAATACTCTACATTTACTCAAAGATGGATAGTGATCAAGAACTGAGCCATTCTAGGATGAAAGCAGGGCAAGAAACACGTCTGAGGGAGAAGCCAAGTAGTGTTTGCCAAAGTAAAGTGAAACTCACGCCAACAAAATTCCAGGTTTTAGTTGAAGAATTTTCTGATTTTCATCTCGATAGTGTCAAAAGTGACAGTGATGTAGATAGTAAGTTGGTTGAAACTAAAACAGCAGGTGATGATGAAATTGAAAGTGAGGGGAGTGATGATGATGATGTTGATACTGCCACACGTGCAGGGCCTACTCCAAAGTTTTTGACCTCACTCCGTCTATGTTGGTACATACAACTTTCAAGAACATGTTCCCTTTCCCTTTGCTCTTTATCCCCCCCCCCCCCTTCCACTAATGATTTTGTTGCCTTGTTTTTATGTACCATTTCACCAGCTTTCCAGTCCCTGACACTTTGTAGAAAAAAGAATTTCTGCCTTCTTCATTTCTATCCCCATTTAGACGTTTTGCTTCAATGAGGTTCATTTTCAGCTTTTCTCTGTCTTCCTTTGAGAGGTCTTGTCTTATTGACCAAAGTTTGCCAACCTCATCACTGCCATTTCCTGGCATTTCTAAGCACTTCCATCATGTTTTTCATTCCATGTATGTGTGTGTAATTACCTAAGTGTAGTTACAGGATGAGAGCTACGCTCGTGGTGTCCCGTCTTCCCAGCACTCTTTGTCATATAATGCTTTGAAACTACTGACGGTCTTGGCCTCCACCACCACCTCACCTAACTTGTTCCAACCGTCTACCACTCTGTTAGTGAAAGTAAATTGTCTTATATTTCTTCGGCATCTGTGTTTAGCTAGTTTAAATCTATGACCTCTTGTTCTTGAATTTACAGGTCTCAGAAAATCTTCCCTATCGATTTTATAAATTCCTGTTACTATTTTGTACGTAGTGATCATATCACCTCTTTTTCTTCTGTCTTCCAGTTTTGGCATATTTAATGCCTCTAACCTCTCCTTGTAGCTCTTGCCCTTCAGTTCTGGGAGCCACTTAGTAGCATGTTTTTGCCCCTTTTCCAGTTTGTTGATGTGCTTCTTAAGATATGGGCACCACACAACCGCTGCATATTCTAGCTTTGGCCTAACAAAAGTTGTGAACAATTTCTTTAGTATATCGCCATCCATGTATTTAAAAGTAATTCTGAAGTTAGAAAGCATGGCATAGGCTCCTCGCACAATATTCTTGATGTGGTCCTCAGGTGACAGTTTTCTATCTAGAACCACCCCTAGATCTCTTTCTTTATCAGAATTCTTTAAAGATTTCTCACATAATATATAGGTTGTGTGGGGTCTATGTTCTCCTATTCCACATTCCATAACATGGCATTTATTAACATTAAATTCCATTTGCCAAGTGGCGCTCCATGTACTTATTTTGTCCAGGTCTTCTTGAAGGGCATGACAATCATCTAAGTTTCTTATCCTTCCTATTATCTTAACATCATCAGCAAACATGTTCATATAATTCTGTACTCCAACTGGTAGATCATTTATGTATTCAATAAACATCACTGGTGCAAGAACTGAACCCTGTGGTACTCCACTTGTGACATTTCTCCATTCCGATACATTGCCTCTGATTACTGCCCTCATTTTTCTATCAGTCAGAAAATTTTTCATCCATGTTAGAAGCTTACCTGTCACCCCTCCAATATTTTCC